TTTTCTGCCACCTCGCTGCGTACCCCTGTCCAGGTCATTCGTGAATGTGCTGAATTGGTTTGGGCCCAGTACGGACACCTGGGGACCCCACTAGTTACCTCCCTCCCTGTCTTCTAACCAGTGAGCAATTCACTAGAGTAGGGCACCTTCCCTCTGATCCCATGAAAACTTACTTTGCTTAAGAGCCTTTGGTGAGGGACCTTGTCAACGGCTTTCTGGAAATCTAAGTGCACTGTAGCCACTGGATCCCCTTGTCCCCGTGTGCTGACCCCCTCGAAGAACTTCAGCAGATCGATGAGGCAGGATTGCCCTTTACAGAAACCCCGTTGACTTTTCCCCAACAAATTCTGTTCATCCGTGTGTCCGGCAGTTCTGTCCTTGACTCTAGTTCCAGCCAGTTTGCCTGGTACTGATGGAATTGCCAGGATCACTCTGGAGCCCTCTGTAAGGATCGGTGTCTCGTTAGTTCTCGTCCCGTCTTCCCGAGGTGCGCCAGCAGCTTTGCGGTTCCGTGCAGTTGGCTGAGAACTCTTGGCTGCACGTGGGATCATCCTGTGACTTAGGGGCAGGGTGTGTCCGTGTGTTCCCAACCCCTCCATCTGGGCCAGCTCTGCAGAACTGTCACCCGGCAGGGCTGGCTCAGGTGTGGGAGTCCCTCTGCCACGGCTGGGCCTTCCCGACTGTGTCACAGGCTGCCTGCTTCTGACACCCTTAGGGAACGCTGCCGCCCCTGCCTGTCTCCTGCTAGCTGCTCTTTGTGGCCCATATTTGTCTCTTGGGCCACTCAGGTGGATTCCAGGACTGGCAGCACCAAGCAGCCTAGAAGTGGCTAGAAATCAGAGCTGATGCAGGAAGTACTTTTTGCCTGGTGATAGTTAGCCTGTGGAACTCACTGCTTCAGGAAACCAGTGAGGCTTCAAACAGGACTGGCCGGGGGCTGACAAGGCTCCCTGGTATGGTTAATAACTAACGCTGCGATTTCAGGGCTAAGTGCGTCCCAGTCTCGCCCGTCCCTAGCACGGGGGAGGGGAAGGACCCGGGGACAGGGTTGGTGCGCGTGCATGAGGGGTGCTAGGGATTAGTAGGGGCAGGGCAGGGGAGGCTGTGGGGGGTTTGGCCCGGCCTAGCACCTGAGCCCGGGTCTCTCAGTTCCCCAGCATGAAGAAGCTGCTGGAATTCAAAGCACACGACGGGGAGATCGAAGACATTGCGCTGGGCCCGGACAACAAGGTGAGCAGCTGAGCGCGGGGGGTGGGGGGCCGAGGCGAGAGGGAGCCTTGGGTGGGGGGTTGGGACGATTGGCTCACAGCCAGCCCCAGTCCTGCCCCCTTTCCAGGAAGGTGTCCCACGGCGGGCAGGGAGCTCCGTGCCTCAGACAGGAGAGGAGGGAGTCAGCTTGGACAGACTGGGAGAAACTGAGGCTAAGTTAGCACTCATGGGGGCCGGGGCCCTGCTCTCCCGGGGCGGGGCGAGTCTCACGCTGCGCCTGGCAGGGGGGGACGGCGG